CAGGGTCAAACTTCTAAAGCTTTAAAAAAAATGTGGGTAGTTGGATCAGACCAAAATCTTAACATGTGTCAAACTTGAATTACATCCCATATCAGCAGAAAAATTTGATGCAGAAACAGTCTTGTTGTTTTGTGGCATTAGCAGTCACACTGTCAAAATCACAAATAATGTGACAAAAATACCACATTGGGTCTACAAAACTCAAAAAATTTCATCACAATGTTTCAAGGTGATGCCTGATTTGACACTACAAAGGTTACAAAAGCTCGTAGTTGATAATTCAAGCATGCTGGTTGTACAAGTGATTCTTTTAACCTTTGGAGTTGTGGTGCCTATGGAGTTTGGAGTTATGGTGACTAAGAGGTGGGTAGATAGCAAAAGGTTTTGAAAATGTTGCACTTAACTAAGACCAAGTAATGTACATTGTAAGCTTTATTCATTATCATTTTAGGAGTTGTTGATATTTTAAGAATGTAATAATAAATTTATTTATTGACCAAGTTAACATCAAATTCAATTTTAGAATACAAGTAAAGTAGTATGAATAGATGTGATATAAAAAGTTGAAAATAATTTCAATCTTAAATTTCACAAAATTGGATAAATATTTTATGTAATATTTTGAAATATATATAACTGAGATTTATAAACATACAAACTATTTCTCATATTATTTTAGTGTGTTAATTTTGAATTTTGACAATATATTAAATAAAATAATATTTATTTTTATTAAAGTAATATTATCTTATTGATTAATTCTATTTATTTATAAATATTTATGCTTGATTTTTTTATTATGTATTACATAAAAATGTATAATTAAAATTTAATTTTATACATAAAAAGTTTTTTAGTTCCATATCTTTATTTTTTAATATACTTAATTTACAAAAAAAAAAATTAAATTACTTTCTGGGAGTTTTAAAATAATAATATTACAAATGAATTTCATATGTTTTATTTTGGACATGTTTTATAGAAACAAGTCAGTAAAAATATAATATTTTTAATTCTATACCTAATAGTATGTTTTATATATATAATATACATATAAAATCATGCATGTTTATTTATTTCTAATTACTTGTATAATATAAAAAACTTATTTATACATAATTTATATGTAAAAAATATATGTTTTTATTATATTTTTAATTTTCTTATTTCAGTAATACTTAAACATATCATACATTATAAAAATATCTAACAATATAAAAAATAAACTCAGCACAAACAATTATAAGGCAACTCAACATGATTGGAGAAGTATCAAGGACATGAATTACAAACATTAAAAACCTTAATATATTCTTATTTCACTCAAAAAGAGTAGATATTTAGTCAAAAGAAGTATAGTATTAAAACTAGAATAGCTATTGGTAAAGAGAAGAAGACTAAAGACTCTTGAAATAAGACCATGGACAAGAGAAGTATTGATAAGAGAGAAGAAGGCTTTACTCTTGTCTCCATATATACTATTTAGTTAGGAGCTATGTGGCACCATTCTATAGGACTTCCAACATGTGTCCAACTTATAAGACATGTGTGTAACTTGCAAGACAAGTTTCCTACGTATATACTACATGGACAACTTGTACAATAAGTCATCAATATGTGCGACACATGGCCAACTTGTCAACCAAATTTCCAACCTAGCAATCAACTACAAACATGTATAAAACCAAATCATGTCTATAAAGCTTTTCTACAAGATATTATCAAATCTATCTTCATTTACCTTCTACCTAACACTTTTTATCTAAATAATCATGTATATCTATAATAAAAAGCAATTTTGACCACAAAAATATCTATTAAAATAAGAAAACAAACCAAGTATGGTTGGAGAAGCAATTTTGATTAAAATTATGTAAGAAAAATATTCATTGAAGTATATAGATATACAACAATAGAAAACATGGAAGTAGAATAATAATAAAAAAATAATAATAATCTTACATAGTTCAAAGTATAGACGATTTTATAATCTATACTTTGAATTTGAATTAAGTGGTAGAAAGTTTAGTTGAAAGGACAGTAGATTATATGTTTGAATAAAATATATAAAAATTACATCTTTTGTTTTTTTTTTTATTTTCTTAGTTTATAAATTGGAAGGTGAGACATATGAATTTAGAATATATAGTTACACAAATAAGAATCCTTTCATATGTCTATAACCATATTTGAGAGTTTAATTTTAATTATTAGAGTCATATTTAGAAGTCAAGTGTGATATTTTTGATGTAGTTATATTAATTTAATCAATTTTTTTTAATGATAGGATAGCAAGATTTAGTGTTGATTAAATATAAAATCAAAACCCAGTATTAAGAATATTTAACAAAATTCATCCATAATTTATATATTTTTAATTTTTAATTTATAAAGATTATTTTTTATAAAATATTATTTAATATTTTTATTTAAATAAAATAAATATTATACTTATAAGATGATAATAAAATTAAATATTTTTTATAAAAAGAATAAAAAGGAGAATTTTCAACCATAATTTAGAAAGAAATTGGTAATTCAAGAAGAATTAACTTAAATTATAAGGTTATAAATTTTGGAATGACTTATTTTGGTTTGATGGAAGAATTTTTTTAGAATATAATATTATTTCTTTATATTTTTTAATACTAACCTATTAATACTTAAATTTTATAATTTTTATAATGCATGTGATAGATTTAAGTTATTGTTTTTAATATTTTTAGAATATATTATGTTGTCTTAAAAAATGTTATTAATTTTATTTTTGAATTAATTTTTAAAGTAATATTTAAATAATATTCAAAGTGTACATATGTATATATCTATACTTAAATCCTAATTTTTTACAAATCACGTATACTTAGTAGATTTTTATATGTAGAAAACAAGGTGAGAGGTTGCAACTTTCAAAACCTTTGATTGGCTGAAATTGAGTTTTTTTTTTTTTTTTTTTTTTTTTTTTTTTTCTTTGAAACATCAAGGGGGTTAACCACTTGATCATAGGTTTTCCATCAAGCATGAAGGAAATTTTACTGCAATGGATCGAACCCTTAACCAGTGCATTTTGCTTTGGGTACCTTATGCCATCATCTAGTAATTTAGGGTCATCTCAGACCTTAAAGTGAGAAGTTTCATTGAATTTGCTTTAAACAAAGGCAAGTTTATACTTAAGGAACAAAGTGAGAGGGCTCAATTTTTAAATCATTTGATTGTTTATGACTTAGAAGAAAATTATAGAAAATTAAAAAGTTTTTTTTAGAATTTATTGCAAAAATAAAAATAAAAATAAAATACAATCAAAATATATATTTCGTATTTTATATAATTGTTGGAAGAAAGATATGAGTTGACATTTCTAGATTTTTAGTGGAAAACAAAATTTGAGTGTGTATTATGTCTTCTTTTCATTTGATACTTTATTCAAAGGCCACTTCAAGAAACCTTTGTAAGGTTTTGCACCATGGACTTTCAAAGTGGGTTTCTAGGTATAAAAACACCTTGTAACACATTTACTAATTATCATTGTCCTTCAAAATATGTAGATACAAATTCACACTATAATTTACATTAAACAAATAATAAAAAAAACACAATATGGTTCAATTCATTTTATTTGCATGTGATTTTAATAAGTTTAGTGTCACAAAGTCAAATTTAGATTGCAATGTGCACAAAGCATCATGGCAGTTGGAAGAATTCAATGTGGGGAGGTAACCCTCAACCTAAAAACCTCCGTGCAACTGCGAAGTATGATGACCTTTCATCCAAATTCAGGCTTGAAGGAGTTTTGTCGTTCCTGTTTTGTTTTATTGTCCTTGCCATGTCCTTGCCTGTCCTTTATCAATTTCTACAGCGGCAAAACATCAAAATAAAGGCAGCAAATGACAAGAACTGCTTCACAAATTTCGTCAATCGATTTGGCTAGTGCTCAAAATTGAACTTTTATGTAATGCTGGTGATGTGGAGAACCGTAAGTTTTCCTGAAATTAGGGTTAGGGTTTTAGAAATTAGGGTTTCGGGCACTAGGGCAACCTTCGAAAGCCCCAGGGCGAGCTTCTCGTCTGTGGCTCTTCGGGATCTCACCGATATGCTTGCAGTGTGAGCGAGGACGACAAAGCAAGTGTCGACGAGAGCGGTGAAGGTTGATGCCCACACTCACTGCGTGTATGCACGGCACTTGTGGTGTTTGATCACTTTGGACGAACTCCCCTCTTTTGACGCCCGAGATTTTTGATCCATACCTCCACCGAATGCGAGAATGCACACAAGGAGTGAAATCATCTCAACTATTATCGTCGCAGGTGTGGTGCTGTTCACTCAGCAGATCTCCATGAACAGTCATAGAGCACTCACGCAGCAAACGCGGCCCCAGCTTCTCCAACCTCCGGCAATTCGGTGTTTGGTCAGCTTACTGCGCGCGGCCTCGCCGGTGTCTGGATAAAAACGTCCCTCCTCCACATGCGTAGGACAGTGTCTCCGCAGAGAAGCAATGAAAATTTCAAAGGATAAGAAATTAAACAGATTGGCCACTTAGATTTTCTGTGAGATTTTGATGAAAACTTCCTCGTGTCGAAACTTCTGGTAAGCCTTCGCATTGGAAAGCCGATACGGAATTGGATACTGTGTGCACGTTTGTGTGTCTAACAATACACGGCACGAATTTCCGTAGAGATAAAGGGGAGAATTTGGTGATGTCGGACAATTGGACTTCGGGTGAAGCAATCGCTGGACTGACTTCAACACCAGTGGCGAACTCCAACTTCCAACGACTCCCATGGACTGGGCCGACGTGGACGACCGCAAGACCAGCATATTCTCCAGCACCATATTCTCCAGCACACTGTGCGATGCAAGCCCCAAAATTATTGAAAGCAAGTCGGAAAAGCTCCAAAATAGCTCCCAGTCCGAAGACGAGAAAAATGGGTGGCCAATACGGAGGCAGCTTTAACGCCAGAGGCTAGACGAAGGAGAGCCACTCAAGGCAAAGCCTCCTTTTTCGTGTGATGGCTTTGAAGGCCACGAGGCCGAGACGCAAGACTCGGGTAGATCCGACCCGGTGGACCCCGGTTTCCAGCTGCTTGCGTCTCTGAGCCCCGCCACAACGAGCTATCGATCACCAGGAAAATTTAGCAACCGCCGGATCCCAGTTTTCCGCTGCTATTTACATCGCCCCTCCACTGCTCTCTTAGTCGATAGTTTCTTCTTCCCACGCTGCTACTCTTTGGCTCACGGCCTTGTGGTTCATCGGGGAAGCACCCTCGTAGCATTGCTGCCGCATTTGTGCTTCTGGTAAGTTATCGGGGTGTTCATATTGCGCGTGCTTGTTGAGGTTTGAGGACTTGGCATATATTATGAGGAAGAGTTCCGATATGCTCATCTGTTCAGTTACTTATTCCTGTTCACCTTTGGGTTCTTGGTTACTTTCCTTTTTTTTTCATTGATGCATCAGAATTTGGATCATCGTGAAGTCGCTTTGGTTGTGGAGCTGTAGATACTTAACTCACAATGCGAGATACCTCAATGGTTTGTTTTGGTAGTCTCGTTGTGCACTCTGTTGCTATGGCTTGCTTGAACCAAGTAGAGACCTATCGGGAACAGTTGATGACTGTAGGCAGGATGTTGACGACAAGTCGTGGCGTCACTTGGGCTTCAGCTTGATCTGCTTGAGCTAATAATCTTTTTGCATACCCGACCCTTGTGTTGTACTATTAGAAGTCGATCGTTAATTCTGCCACACCAGCTTGAAATTGGGCTTGTGGTGCGTGAGTCGAATGCATGGTCTAATTTTGATCCTCGTCTCCGCTGTCATGGAATGACAGGTCAGGGTTATTGGTTTTCTTTTTTCCCTCAGAAATGTTCAATGCTAATGGTGTGCGATATGCCAATGATGGGAACGATATTTACTAGAGTCTCTGCCTTTCACAGGTTCTGTTAAGAAACTGTCAAGATGGCGGGCACGGGGTTTTATGAGTCAATTCTTGACAACGATGTCTTCAAGTACTACGCCGATGGAGAGTGGAAGGTATCCTCGTCCGGGAAGTCTGTGGGCATTACCAACCCTTCCACCTTGAAGGTGCAATACAAAGTACAAGGTCCGTAATTTCGCCCTCACATTATCCAAATGCACTGTAGTATATCCGTTACCATGCTTGCAGCATTTGCATAGAACAATGTAAACCTTTGATGCCGACAACGTAGTTTCTCAGGTGATGGGTAATGAGTGGAAAGTAAGTGTGTTCCTGTGATAATCATATTTGTTTATCATTTCCAATGTTTGATCTTTTTTCTCTTCTAGGTAACATTGGGGTCTCTCTCTCTCTCTCTCTTGGGTATCTTTAAATTACGACTAGGATTAGTTCACCATACTGATAGAGAAAGTTTTGGAGATTCATCGAGTGCGAATCCTGATTGCTGATGATCTTGTTGTGCTGCTCCAGCCTGTACTCAGGACGAGGTGAACAAAGCGGTGGAGAGCGCCCAAGCTGCTCAGAAGATCTGGGCCAAGACACCGCTGTGGAAGCGAGCTGAAGCGCTGCACAGATTTGCTGCAATTTTAAAGGATAACAAGAACGAAATTGCCGAGGCGCTTGTGAAAGAGATTGCCAAGCCCCACAAGGATGCTCTCACCGAGGTCTGCTTTCCCCTCTAACAATCACCCGATTTATCGTTGAACGCAACATTTCATTCTGTGAAATTTCTACGTCTTTTGCGTATTTGTTTCTGGTTTATAAACTGAATGTTACTGGTTGGCGGGCTTCTGTGTACACAGGTTGTCAGGTCTGGTGATCTCATCTCATACTCAGCCGAAGAAGGTATTAGAATTCTGGCTGAGGGCAAGTTTCTGGTGTCTGACAGCTTCCCAGGAAACGGAAGAAATAAATACTGCCTTGCATCGAAGGTACCGGAGCTCCTCCATGTGCATCGCGTCTAGCATATTTTTTACGGTTTCGAAGAAAATTCTATTTCATCTTGAGGATTGAACCCTCGGCTTTATTGACTCGTTTCACAACTGCCTGCAGATTCCTCTTGGTGTGGTTCTTGCTATTCCGCCATTCAACTACCCTGTTAACCTGGCAGTGTCCAAGATCGCCCCAGCTTTAATTGCAGGAAATGCGGTTGTCCTGAAGCCTCCCACTCAGGGCGCGGTGTCAGCCTTGCACATGGTGCACTGCCTCCACATGGCAGGGTTTCCCAAGGGGTTGGTTTCTGCAATTACAGGGAAGGGCTCTGAAATCGGAGACCTGATGACCATGCATCCTGGCATCAATTGCATCAGGTATAATAGATACCATAACCTCATTCCCAAGCGTCTCAATCTGGATGTGTAATGCTTATTGAAGTTGATTGTATCTCCAATTTCTAACGACAAGTTTTGATGCGGTCCTGGTGCAGTTTCACAGGAGGAGACACAGGTATTGCAATTTCAAGAAAGGCTGGCATGGTTCCGCTTCAGATGGAGCTCGGAGGCAAGGATTGCTGCCTTGTGCTAGAGGACGCGGATCTTGAACTCGCTGCGAACAACGTGATCAAGGGTGGATACTCTTACAGGTTAGGAACGTGTGTTGCTTTGAATCTGGAATCCTACGATTCGGTCAGTACGTAGGACATGCAGTTCTTTTTTCTTTTTCTCTTGTCTTATTCGAGATTAATAACTTGAACTGTTGCGGAAACTTGCAGTGGACAACGTTGCACTGCAGTGAAGGTTATCTGTGTAATGGAGTCAGTTGCTGAGGAGCTAGTGTCCAAGATCGTTCAGAAGATGACGAAGCTTACAGTTGGTATGCCTGAAGATAACTGTGATATCACTCCAGTTGTCAGTCAGTCTTCAGCCAACTTCATTCAAGGTCTTGTCGAGGATGCACAGGCCAAGGGTGCCAAATTCCATCAGGTACGCTCCACATTCGGAATAGTTTTCCACTGCAATTCATGAAGTTGGCAATTGGCAAGCAGCTCACTACTGTGATGTTCCTGCTCCGATCCGCACGCTGGCATCCTATGTTGCTCTGCAGGAGTGGAAGAGAGAAGGAAACTTGATCTGGCCACTTCTTATCGACAATGTCACACCTGACATGAGAATCGCGTGGGAGGAGCCCTTCGGACCAGTGATCCCCGTCATCAGGATCAAGACCGTGGAGGAGGGCATTCACCACTGCAACGCAAACAACTTTGCTCTTCAGGTGCAACCTACTCCCCACCCAGAAGACAATTCCATCATTCGTGGGATTCATTTTTTAACTGACATTATGCCGAACGATCCTGCAGTAACACTCACCTAAATGTTAATTTTGAAATACAGGGATGCGTCTTCACCAAAGACATCAACAAAGCAATTCTGGTCAGTGATGCTATGGAGTCCGGAACCATTCAAATCAATGCAGCACCTGCAAGAGGGCCAGATCACTTTCCTTTCCAGGGTCTTCGAGACAGTGGAATCGGCTCTCAAGGAATCACCAACAGCATTCAGATGATGACGAAGACCAAGAGCACGGTGATCAACCTGCCAAGAAAGTCATACACGATGGGCTAGATCGCTTGAATCATTATCGGTGGCTGCACGGCAGGGGCTAAACTGACCTTCCCCAAGTTTTTCTAGAGGAATATTATCACATCATTCCTGCTGCGGACTAGTTCACTCACTTGAGCACACCTGCTGACCGAACATTACATGTTTTTGTGAGTTGTGGCTTGGGATTGCGATCAAAGAGGGATTCATGGAGCCCATGAGCTGGCGTCGTCTTATAGATGGCTCCCCTTTCGTATACCTAGTCAGGTCGCATGCATCAGCCAGATTGTAGGACAGTTGGGTAGAGATTTGATGAGCATTTATACATGGAGCTGAGGAGTGGCCAGACGTTGATGAATAGCCCGGTGTAGTGGCAATAAATTTCAGACAATATGAACTAGTACATCGGAATTCTACGTCCACCGTTGGAACAAGCATGGACCTTGCACAAGTAAAGGCGGCGACTTTGCAAAAACCCATTTGTGTCGTTTCAATCTTTTCTTGCTCTTGGTCTTGATCCGTGTCTCCGAACTGATGAATGTTGTGTTTCTACCCCAGAGCGATTGGAATTCTAGTTAACTGTCAAACTAAAAATGTGAAAATAGAGAAACGATTTCTTGTAGTTGGGTGGGTTTTTCAAATGAGCTGTTTTGATGCTTTGCATAACTAATTTGTGTCAAAATCTCCAGAAATATGCATGTTATTTTTGTTTTGGTAACCATAAGGATGACATCCATTACCTTAAATTGTGAGGATGTGTCTTGTGCCATGCATCCTACGAACAGTAAAACTCTTGTTTACATTGAAAAGTTTTACAGTAAATTTATAGTAATAAGTTTATATGCCACTGCTTTATGATTTCCTTCTTCTTTTTTTTCTTTTATTTATTTTGATAAATTTAGAAAAATATTTAAATAATTTCATGCAAATTCTTTGCTTGATCTAATTAAACTTAATAATTTTATTCAGGGAATCTTTTATTATAAGTTTATCCTAAAACTTTCCAAGGTAAATAATGTTTTCTTATTCTGTATGTGTAAGAGCATGTGGCATAGAGAGTGTCTATCTAGTAGTTCTCTTTTAAATTTTTTATATAAAATTCTTATAATAATAAACATTTCATTACCACAATCATAAGAATATAATTCATTTTATTAATATCAATTACCAAACATTGATCAAATCATTCATAGAATAATACCATGTACATAGAAAGGTTGTGGTTTTATTAAGATTAAATAGAATAAGAAGATGAATAGTAAATCTTTAGAATTTTTATACCTATGAGTCTACTTTAAAAAGTCATGGTTCAAAAGCATAATATATATGTATATATTTGTGAAGAGAAACTTTTTAATAAAACCTTCAATACATAGAAATGTCAAGGATATGAATCGTAGGGAATTGAAAGATCAATACACTCTTGTGTCACTTGAAAAGACTAAAAAATTACTCAAAGATAGCATAATATTAAACTAGAATGGCCATCTCTTTGGTGCCACAAATACATATAAAGTACAAACAAAAATAAAAGATAAAATGCAATCTTTCATGAACTGCATTTCTTTATATCAAGGATTCGATATTCTTCATCTAGGTTTTGATGGATATCGTCATTGAAAGGCATCAACCTTCTTTGCTGTATTTGTAAGATTCATAACTGACTCCCATGTACATTCATTAATATCATATTTGCACCAATGAACAAGATATACTAATCTATGTCGTTCTTGAGTTTTTTTTAGTTATGCCTTTATTATTGTATATAACTCAGATAAATAATTCGTCAAATCTTCTAATATATGATTATTAATTTTTGAGAAGTCAAAAATATCATGTTATAGATAATAACTATAATTAGAAAAAGATGTTTATTACATAAAAAAATGTATTGTATTATTATAAACAAACTCTACTAACAATAAAATAATTATTCACTTGTCTTATTAAAAGTTGGTGGTATACTTCAAATACTACTCCAAAACTTGCTTTACATGCTTTGTTTGTCCATCGGTATGAAGATAAAAAGTTGAAGATAGCTTTATGTCCATTTAAAAGTAAAGTTTATTCCTCAATCCAAATTATAAGATGGAATCAATTAAGAGTTTTTTTTGTAATTGTTGGTGTGAAGTCGAAGTAGCAAAAACAAGAATAAAAGAAGCACAAGACAAAACAATTGGAACAAGTCACAGTCTATTTAATAGATTTTTATCTCATAAAAAATAAAATTAAAAAATAAATAATATTTTTTAGATATATAATCTTTTTATCTTTTCAATGACATAAAAATCATCTAAATTCAAGTTACTATGAGTAAGTTATGATATATTAAAGATAGAAGGTAAATAATAGAAAAGTTAAGTGAATAATTTTTATTTTAAGGATAATTTGCTTAAGAGATCAAGAGTTTGAGCCTCACCAAGGCTCACAAGTAGTTTATATGGTTTTCTAAGAGAAGCCACAAGGCCTTAGTCTTATCCTCCTAACTACCTTTAAGGTGCTACGACCATATGGAACTTGTGCACCTCCATTCTTATAAAGACTATATTAGCTACTAGTCCTTCTATTTTTTATTAGTAAAACTAATATTTTTACATTTTTGACTTCACCATGGTATTTAAAAATACCTAATTAGCCTCAAAACCTTGTGTGGCCTTCAAATCTTACTCCATTTCTTCATAATAGCTACCAAAGTAGTAAAACTCATTTTTACCAAAGTCTTGGAAATTATTCTAAAAATTTCTAAAAAATTATAAATAAATTATAAAAAGTTCTAAATTTTTTATAATATTTTTATAATATTGATATCAATTTAAATCTATATTTTATTATTTTGATTATTTTTTTAGTAATAAAATTAATTCAAATAAACTATAAATCCTATTTTTTATATAATTAACTAAAAATATTAAATCAACTAAGATAATTACTTCTAAGTCTTATTAAGATTCCATTTTTATAATTAAAATTAAAATTTTCTATTTATCTAACGATTTCTATACTATTCATCATATATTGTGATTTTAATCACTTTAGATGTATCTATTTGTCCTAAAACAACTGATAAGTTAATTTGATGATTCATAGTCTATTTTTAAAATCTTACAAAAAAATTCTTTAAAATCTAGATATAAGTTGAATCTCTCTATTCAATATAATATCTTTGAACAATCTATGATAATGATAGATGTTGATAAGGAAAAGTTTAGTTCTTTCTTCACTAGTGATAGATTTTATACATAATACAAAATATACTATCTTGGTAATGCGATTTACTATCACAAATATAAAATCATACAAATTTGAGACTGAAAGATCCATAATAAAATCCATAGAAATAGAAGACTATAATTGTTTTCGATTAGATAACACTTAAAGAAGCTCATAAGATCAAAGACAAGGAATTTTTGATCTTGAACAAATGTCACATAATTGTATAAAGTCTTTAACTTCCTTTTATATTTGAGGCCACCAAAAATCTCTTGATATTAGTTCCAAAATATCTTATTGTATCCAAAATGTCTAATTGCTAGAAAATTGTGAAAAGCTTGAAAAACATATAATTATGATTTATCTTTTGAAATATATAATCATCTTTTAAAATAAAGTAAATCATTTTTGAACTCAAACTTAGAAGTTTCACGAGACTTAGAAGAATTATTTTTAATATCATGAATATGAAGTTTAGAGGACATACTTGATTGAATTTGCTTGAAAAAAGATGAATCAATCATCAATGTTGATTTCATTGCTCAAAGATGAAAATATTTCAACTTTAAAAAAATTATTTTTTTTAATCAAAAGGTATATTTTTTTTTTATTTAGGTCCAAGATAAGTACGTTTGAAAAGGACATCTAACAAATCTTATTGTTTTTTTAAAATTAATAAGTGATCTTGAAATCAAATCTTCATAAAGATATGCTCCAATGGATTTGGCAATAATTCAAAATACATGGTGATATGAAGTATTTGAGATTCTTATGATTTATATATATGATGATTGGATTAGAAGTACCTTCTAAATAATGATGCTATTCTTGAAACAAATCCATGATTGCAAAAAGCTTTTTTTGTGGATCTCGTAGTGAATCTCAATTGTTAAAAAAAAAAATTAGAATAAAAAGCTATAAAATAGAAATAATTATTTTTTTCTATTTATAATAATATTATACTTATAGTAAAATTTGATACATTTTTTTCTTAAAAAATACCTTAAAGAGGTTGATGTAATATTGGTATTAAAATAAATATTGTCTTTAAAGCTTCAAAAGATGCTTCAGCTCCTTTAGTCCATTCAAGTTTGTCTTTATATGTCATATATGTAAGAAAAGCAATAATTTAAAAAAAAATCTTAATAAAGATCTAATAATAATTAAAAAATTCTCAAAAATATTATACATTTGTAACTATTTTTGGAATCTTCCAATCGATAATAGTCTAGACTTTTTAAGGATCTAATATAAGGCCATCATTTGAAGTGATGTTTTTTGAGAAGTCAATTTGAGTAGTGTAAAATACATACACTTTTCTATCTTGGCATATAATCTTCCATCTTGAAGTTTTTATAGTATGCAATGAATATGTAGTTTGTATTCTTAAAATAGATTTAGATTCTATTCAACTAACAAACAAAAAAGTCATAAAAAACTCACAAAAGATTGGTCCAAATAGTAGTTGACATTCATCTCAAAGATCATTGAAATAATCACAGGAACAATGCTATGGAAGAATATTTACATTCTTCCCTTTAAAGATATCTTAATAATCTTGGTATAAGATTGGAATGCTATTTGAATTCTTTTATTCATCAAAAATAGATGTAGCATATATAGAAAAAATTGATCTTTTTTTTTGATGCATGTATGAAAGCTCTTGCACCTATTAATAATAATTTAGTTATATTGGATTTAGTAATTTCTACTTAATTAGCAAGATCTTAGATAAAACTATGAAAAAAATTAAGATTACAAAAAGTCCAATCTATTTGAGGATTATCTTCCCTAGCCACAATAATCCTAAAATAACTAAGTTGGTTGGAGATCTAAAAATATTTAATATTACTAAGCTATTATGATCTTTAGTTATTATAAATAAAAGAATTATTTTATGGATAATATTTCTAGAGGACGACAAATAACCATCTCTAACTTCTACATGTATAGATTTATTTTTCTTGTTTAAAACATATTTCTTGTTTTTTAACAAAAGCTTCATCAATAAAATAAATTGAGACTCCTATATCTAATAAGACAAA